GAAATAACTAAAATTAGTTCGAATTTCCCATCCCATGCATGGGCGGGACGGGACGGCAAATACACCAGTCGAAGATGTGTTCCGGAGAGTGCACCCAGGGCTCTCGAATGGCCGCGGTTTTAGTGGCCAAGAGATGGCCAAAATCGAGGTTCTCGGTCCAAGGGAGCCGATAAGGGAGCCAGCCGAGCGCGTCGTAAGCGGCGGTGTGCCGACGACGGCAACGGGGGCGATCGATGGCGCCGTCGTACAGCCCGCCAGGTGTACACCTGCCTCCGCATCCCTCTCGGGCACCCGGGAAAGTTCCTTCTTTCGCCGGGTGTCGTGTCGACCTGGGAACGACGTCCCGGCCATTTCCGACCGGCTGAGCTACGGGATCCGTTCACGGAAAGGCCCGCGAGATGTCCCTTTCTTGGCATTGTTTATCGACGCAGATATCCGGGGAGAAGGGAACGGAATGATCCAACGCCTGGCTAAAAGCCGTAGATGCTTCGCCTGCAGCACAATCGTTCTGCCTTCAATAACACTTCGTTGAACGGACAGTCAGAGCCCGCTAAAAAACAACCAGTGCGGGCTGGAGGCGGGTTCTTAACTTGTCACCAACTACAGATAACAAAGCCCCAGTGCTGTCGGCGTCACCTAAAGGCCAACGCGTGGCAGTCTGAACAAGAGCGCTAAAACGATATTTCACGAAGTGAACTTAGCAGACATGAAAAGGGAGGCCCGTCGCTTTCCTACGGTGCACAAGATGGGAAGTGCACTTATGCGTTTCTCGCTTTTAAACAACGAAAAAAATCGAACGGTGCAGCGAACCTACAGGTTTTTCGCCTTCCCACAGTGTCCAAGCTATAAGCTGAAGCGCATATGTGGGTTTTTACTGTCGCGCATAGTGCACATAAATAATAATAACTTTTATAATAAAATACAGCGCGACTAAAACAAGGAAGGAGAGACGAGGAAACACAAGGCAAGCGCTGTTTTATTGTTATCTGTATGTTTATATGTTGTGTGTAGGTTTAATGTGTATTATATGATGTATACTGTACAATATATATATAATATATGTAATGCATAAAATGTACATAATACATAATGTATAATAATAATGTATAATGTTGTATGTATGCGTAAACAGCCGGAAGTTAGTCAGCCCCAGTGGGAGCTAGACTGGTGTCTCAAGTAGATGAGTAATTTGGCCAGTGCAGGGTACAACCGCCAGCCTGTGGTCTTTAACCTGTACCACTGTAGTAGTGATACACGACCGCAGGCCGGTACGAGGGTCATTCAGATCGAAACGGGCAGGAGCGGGGATTGAATCCAGGATCGCTGGGTTCTGCAGCGCGAACTTTCGCTCCACGTGCTCCGAGCTGGTGTGCGCTAGTCCACTCGGTCACCGATGCCCCGCGCAGTGCATAATATCATAAAATCAAACGAACTTGTCCGTTTCTCGTTTTTCTGCAAAATATATCGCTGCAGGGAGAAGTCCCCTGGCGAGTCCGTCAGTTTCCCCCTTCTCCAAGGGGTCAAGCCCGTTTACGAGTTCTTAGCTTTTCCCCAAGACACATTGTCTTAGGTACAAAGAAATACAAAGTGCGCACAGCAAAGTAGATCACCAAGTGCGAGGAGACTGGAGCATACCGAGGGAGGAAAGTAGGAGAATGTGTAGACGTGAATCTTGCGTAAATCTGACACACGAACTCTCGTGCGAAGACCAAATGAACCCACGCAATTGTGCAAGTATTTTTGGCGTTGAGTGCTGTAAAAAGAAACGCTAGACTTGACCACGTCGAACATCAGCCTGTATGCTCGACTCACTACATGCTTTTACAACAACATCTAAAATAAAATGGGTTCTCTTGACGTGCTTCGGCTATTCGTCCGTACAAGCTAGTAATACTCCTGAGATGATAATCAGCGATTGTGCTAGCGAGTCAAGTTTAAACTTCTTAAAATTGTCCTTCCAAGAAAATTTTGAAGAATCGACTTCTTTCCCCAACTGCTACGGTCATTTCCCTTCCAGATTCTCTTTGTTGGCACACGTTGCGCTCGAACTCCTTCCGCCCCCTTCACTGCCCGGAATCACAAAATTCTGTTTTTTTTTTTTTTGTTGTTTTTTTTTTTTTTTCTTTTTGTTGTTATTGCTTTTTTTATTCTTTTTAGCAATTTTTTTCCTCGAGAGCTGTAATACGTCACATACATATTTTCTAGATAAACACAACTATGTTTAGGAACAAGTCAGTGTTTTCGCGCACCGGGAGTGGGCATTATGCGTGCGCAGAAACCAGATTCGTGTGGAGTACGAGTCGTCTGCTCATGCGGCGTGCCTACAGCAGCGCCACCGCAACGACGAGACGCCAGAGCTGCCAACAGCCGGTAAGTTGTGTGGGACGGACCCACGCCGTCATAAGCCACTCTATAGACACTGGCGTTAAAGAGCATCTTCATCATCGGCTTTCGGAAGACCCTTCAGAAGTTTCTTCCCGTGGACAACCTGCACAATGGTCTCAAAGCGGTCCCCAAGCCACACCTCCGAGAAGACTCCCTTTTGTTGACCGTCGGAGCAGGAGGCCCCACAATGGCTTCCTTCTATTGCAAGGCTCTCGGAGGACGACACGGTCTGGTGATTTGGAACCTGGAAGGATCGTCCTGGTGGGCGATGCCAACTTCGTTTTGCTTCCAGGCAGGCCGACTAATTACAATGACAAAAACCCGCCGGGGACAAGCCACACCCGGCCGACAAAGGGTTGCTCCGCTAGCGAGCGAAGAAAAAGGTGGCGTAAGACCGCGGTATCCTATACCACGTAGGCACATATCAAACTTCCAGAACACGCGCTATTGTAGCGGTTTTCGGCGGCAGAACTGTAAGAAAGACGAAGTTCGGTCGACCCTGGCGTGGGAGTGGGAATTAAAGAGGCGGTCACGAAAGCACGCCGTAAAACTGTATAAAAAGCTACATGTAAAGAACAAAATGCTATGGGCGAGCCGTTACACGGTGCAGCGACGTGATTCGTCCGGGTAATTTTGGAGCACTTTTGGAGCAGTCAAAAGTCCATTTTTGCGCAGCAAAAAGAACTTTTGGACCATGAGAACACACTTCTTTTTCATTCGTACCACTGTGAATACACTCATAAAAAAAAAATGTATTTTTACACCCTTTGTCCCGCATACTACACCACAAAACATCAGTTGGACGTACAGCACACTGACGTACTAACGTTTACGAGAGGCTTGATAGCCGTTTGGTATAACTTATTAAAATGGCTAATGTACGTGTTACTGACTACAAAGAAAAAATAATCGGTGTTTTCTTGGCCCTACTGCAAGACCTCAGTGCTTTCTTTCTGTGATCTTTGCTACGTACTTTAGCTATTCAATAAATTATATCGCACCGTTATTAAGCCTCTCGTAAAATTTGGGGCCGTCCCTTCGACTTTAGTGCGCTGTACGTCGAATTGAAGTTTTGGGGTGCATTATAGGGGACAAAAGGGTGTAAGGTGATGCCCCTTTTTTTTTTTTTTTTTTTTTGAGTGTATATAAGTTAAGATTCATGTGTGGTTTGTCAAACTGCAATACAATGTCTGTTTGCCTTACCGCTTGTGTGCAACCTTTTGTTAGCATCAATTGCCAGGCAGGCTTGATTCCCCCGAATACGAAACTAGCTGTTTAGTTCCGCTTAGAAGCATCAGACTTGGCAAAAATGGGCTGATTGATGAAGGACAGTATGAACTGCTAAGAATGGATATTTTAGGTACGGAATCAAAAGGTAAACTAAATACTTAGTGCATTCCACTGAAATAATCTTAAAATGGAATAATTTTGAACTCCCAAATTGATGTTTCATTCAAGTCCTAAAAGTTATGATCAAAGTGCCATTCTTGATTCAAATAAAGACCAAGAGTTTGTCATTTGATTATAATCAATAACATATATGTAGGCATTCGCGATGACTGATCAACGACGCATATGTTAAAAAACGATCTAGGCAAATCGCTAAGGGTTGTCACATGCTTCCAACCACTGATCCAGCAATATTAGTCTTAACATTTTGCCGATTCGTTCGTTGGTTTGTACCTCAATTGTTTTCTACACAAGTGCTAGAGCGATCGACTATTTTCAAAGTAGCCTCTAATCAACAATTTCCCCCGCTTCTTTTGCATGCAGTGAAACAATTATTTTCCAATAAGCGAATCTACCGACACCGAAATTTCCCAAGGCATATCATAAAAGAAACGATATTTGTATTTCGAGGGGAAGGGGGTTGAGGGTTGATATTTAGATATCACCATAATCCCCCCCCCCCCCCCCCCCCCCCCCTCCGTTAGGGGCCTCATAAACAATCCAACTCAGGACCCGAAAGTTCCTTTGCCCGGCTATTTGGAGGTATTATCCCATGTAGGAAGAAACCGACCTTCTCACGTCCGCCACTTTAGATCACCGGCGTATCCTCCGACGTCGACATAGTGTAGGAGGTATTCACTGGACGCCATATTTGAGGGCGATGTTTAGAGCGCATGCTCAGAACGAGCTCACATTAAAAGCCTGATAAGACCGGCAACTTTGACGGTGCTAAATGCACACGCCAAAAGGACTGCGGAAGCTCGTCGTCAGCACGCGCTGTGCAGCAGCGCACACGGATATGGCCGCCAGCAGCTGTGCATGGGCGCCGCCATAAGCGACCTTCAGTTTTTGTTTCCCCTTATTCCGTTCGCTTCACGTCGTCATTACCACAGCAGAACAGGTTATTGCGACTTTAGGTGCTCTGCGTCCTTTTCCCCGTCATAGACCTCTTTAGAGGCTCATAAACGCCCGCTTCGGTGGCTAGGCATCTCGGTAAAACAGGAGAAGGTCAGCTATGGCGGCTCAATCTGGCGCGTGTGCAAAGTGTGTATTGGTTTGAACGACAAGCATTCCAACACTTCCCCGATTCGGGATAACAAACCGAGGGCTACGCATGGCGCAAATGTCGTTTGATCTGATTTTGTAATTTATTATTTTCCCCTAAACGGGGACGGGCCACTCTCGGAAGTAGTGCAATACCGGACCAACCCTGGCGTCCTCGAAGCAAGCTCCTTAGAAACACCACTTGCAAAAATAAGTTTAATATCTTGGATCAATTAGATCCGTATCAGATATTAAGCTGATAAGAACAGATACTGTAGATGATCTTAGCCAAAAGGCCGAGAAGCGATACTATTTCATGCAGAAAAGTTAGCCCCACCTACAACAAGCTTCCCGCGGTAGCGAAGTACCTCATAGCTTCATATCATATTTGCCCATTTCTACAAAAGAACCAATAACAATATTCTAGACAGAAAGTTTACTACAAACAAGTTAGTTCTATCCCTAAGTTGCATTCAGTCCCAAAACGAAGCCTTGAGCTATATTCTCGATATCTGTGCGCACCGAAACGTGCAACTTCTTGTTTAAGGAAAAACCTCCCCCCTTCCCCCCAAAAAAAAAAAAATTATTTTGAGGGAGGAAAGTTTCAGGAGTACAAGCGGGAACAGAGTTTGCCGGAGATTAGCTCCCCCGCTGCCTCTGCGCAGGGCCGGGCCCCGCCCCGGCTGACAACGCGGTGGCAACTAGTCGCACTCGGCGGACCAATCAACGCATCCCTTTCATCAGCTGCCCCCCCCCCCCCCCCCCAATCATCCTGCGCGTGGGTACAACACCACCTAGACAGAAGGCCTCTTCACGCGTCATCCCAATCAGATCGATCGAGGCGTGAGATTGGGCACGAGTGCTCTGTCAGTGTTCGGCTGGGGCTCGTGTCCAAACAGCGCGGTTGAAGGTCGGACTCGGGCCGAACAGCCAAGTTAGCGCCATCCGACTCTGATGACGTTTCAGAGAGGGAGAGGAGACCATGCGGAGGCCTTCTGTCTAGGGGATGTTGGTGGGTACACTGATCTCTACTACAGGGGGCTGGATAGCGCTTACCTGCTCTCCGAGCCTGGCGCAAGTGAAGCCACCGGAAGTTCGATGCTTGTCCCGGAAGTCGGGTGTGCGCTGGGCTTCCTAGTGCATTCAGTCGATATTTTGGACCATGCTTTTTTGTGTCTTTGATTGGGTTTTAATACTCCCGTTCTGGATTAAATCCCGAGAATGAGGCGTTTGAACTTGGGACATATTCACAACTTGATCAACTAGAATTTCAAAATGTTTACATTGAATGGCTTCCCATGATACTTCTCGCGTCCGCATGCGCTCTTACTGCACAACAAGCAGGCTCTCTTGAGGGAAGAAGCAAAAATCCAGCGCCCTCGGTGCTTTTCGAACCATCACTCGGAAGGGTTACAAAGCCTGCCAAGCACTCACTTCCGGGACAAGCCGTTCACTTCCGGTTTGCTCAATGCGCCATCCAGCTCCCTCTAGTGGAGATCAGTGGGTGGGTACGGACGGGAGCGTGGTCACGTGGCGATATATAGACACATGATTGGTCCAACGAGCGCGTGGCTTCCACCGCACTGTCAACTTAGGGGGGGGGGGGGGGGGGGGGGGGGGGGGGCAGCGGTTGCGGTAAGGCGCCCGCGCGACTTTTCCGCCTCTTATCTAGCCCCAGCCTTGTACCTGCTCCACGAGTGGTAACTTTAGTGCACTACTACTCATCCCAGGCGTTCAAAGTCTATCTGAAAATGACTGATTTAGTTAAGTACGTAATTAGATTGATTAAGTACTTACTTAATAATTAAGTGCTTACCTACTTAATAATTAATTAAGTAATTTTATTAATTAAGTAATTAGGTGGAAGAGCCTGAGTAGAGTCTTCCTTCTCCTTTCGTCGCCAAATCTTCATTGGTGGAGAAGGAGCCACATGCCCCACATTGGACTACACCACTAGCGGGAAATCGTCCTTGCGGAGCGTCGGGTTTCGGGTGGGGCATATGTTTCGTATCGTTCACGAAATATAGATCCTGCACCGTAATTTGACGAGCGGGAAGCTTCTGCAACCTTCGGACATTATGTGTGCCACTTGAACGTGCGTGATCGCGTTCGTTTTTTTATGACGCAAGGACCGTTTCAAAGCGGCCGACCACAATCAGACGACCACATGACAGACGACGACGCAGCGTGCACAGGCGCTTCCGACAGACCCGGGAGGCGCACGACCGCGCGTGCGCGGGTAAACCGCCGCCTCCTGTCGTCGCGCCTTTTGCGTCTCCTACAAGAGCCAACGTTGGGAACATTCTTCCGACACGTCTACAACATGTCCATGTCACTTGGAAATTGGGATGCTCTTGACGGTGGTATTGAGAGCTGCAGTCACTGACACTTGGTGAAAACGGCAAGGACGAGCAGCAGCATGCTGCGCCGCCAGCGCGAGCTTTCTAGCTTCGACAACGTCTCGGCGGTGTCTCGAGCAGCACCTTGAGCACGAGCGCTCTGCCAAAGAATGACGGAAGGCAGGGGGAGTGTGCGCTAGAGGCCGGGCGTTTGAAAAACACGCCCTGCCGTTCTTATTTTGTCGGTGACTGTAGTCTGTGACGGCTTGAGAAACGCAGCGAGTACATTAATATGTTCACACTACTTGCATCGCCATTTGTCTCTATTCCCTCTTTCGCAACTACGATGCCCTATAGATGGCAGGGCTGTAGTTCAAAGATGGTGAAAGAGACGGGGATAGATTTTCCAGGATTGTGCGTGTGTGCGCCTGCTCGCTGATGCTGCTCAGTCTGTGTAAATTAATATATTTGACAACAAATGCGAAGCGATCGGGGCAGGAGCCTATCACAGGTGACGGAGACGTTGACGTCGTTAGGAAAACGAGTATGTTAATTTTTAAAAGATTCGGAAACCTCAGTTTCACGTTTCATTCTGAAAGTTACGGAGCATTTTATGGGCACCGTCCACGTTATTGTCTGTGAAAAAATTATTCTTAAAGGTGATGAACATATCGTTGTGTTTTCACTGCACCCGGTTACCAGTGCTATAATAAGTGAACCGCACAGGTTGTTCGTAAAGCTCCGGAAAAGAAGCGTTCACATTGATGTGGGAGGCTCGCAGGTCAGTGACTATTGTCGCGGTTTTAGTGCATTGCAACACACTATCGACCCACGCCATGGTTACCAACAGGCCATATATAACATAGCAAGGGTGCAGGCGAGCTGGTGAATGTTTTTGTTCCTTCGACCGATATGTTCATTTCTGCCCCCGTCTCAAGATTATTCAACATGGTCATAACTAACAGGCCGTTTCGCGATAGTGTGAACGTAGGCTACCGTACGGCGCGACATTGCAACCGGCATCCCGAGCTACACCTTTTCAGCGCATGACAGGAGCGTTGTCGTTGTCCACGGTATCCCATGGTAACTGAAGAACTGCCTATTAGTGCCATCAGCAGAATTGTTTTTTTGTTGTTTTTTTTTATTAAAAAATATTGCAATATACTGTATACCGTGTGCCGTTTTATTCGCAGTGTCGCGACCTGCCTCTCCCAAACTGCCCGTTGTAAGTACTCGGCAGTAAGTGCCGCGAGTATTTTTTAAGTGTAGTCTCTCTTTTGGAAGCACGTGGAGCAAACAGTCGTGTTCCTTTCCACGGCCTTTCAGCAAGTAAAACGCCAACCGATTCCCATCGTCAATCGCTCGACAGTCCGATAAACGATGAGCTTTATTCTACTTTAGAAATCGTACGGAAAGCCTTTTTCTACTTTCGTACATCTTACGGGAGAGCTTTTCACCTCTAGAGGGAGCTTTTGTCGCCACGTTGAGCACAGATTGAGCCGGCGACCCCAGGACCCGAAATCCACAGCGTATGCGATCTACAAGAAGACTCCAATTAAATTAGACATCTTCCTTCCCCCTTTGTGCAACCCTCTTACGAAGCGGAACACAACAATTCTAAAAGTGTCGCTCCAAAAATGGTTCGTAAACATCATCGGCTTCGTGTATCAAGCTGTAATTTTACCCAAAGACGTATTTAACAAGTGTTATTAACACACTAAAATTCCAATTATCTACTCCGAATGAAACTAAAATGATAATTCGAAAACTGATTTTTACCAATGCTGGAGCGGCAGCTTGTTAGAGGAGATCGAACGATGGGCCATATTTGCCCAGCTTATTCAGAGATGGCGACACCAAAGCCGGCAACCCGCGTACTGGGCACCGGGTGCCGGATTTCGCAGCTAACTTTAATTCTCTCTTTCAAACGTGTGTTTCAGTTCGTGTTTTCGATATCCGCGAAAACGCAAGCTCGTAATTAAATTCTGAGCTCGCGATTTCAGCACGACGAGCGTCACGAAAGAGATGGTGATAAAGACGATAAATGCTGCTTTAGAAATCAATTATCCTGACTAACAACGGTTTCTTATACTTTCTACATCTGCGTTCACAGTTTGGTTTGCCTCGAGAGAGGCACACCAAACTGTGAACCGCCAGCCCCGGCGCGCGGCAAGAGCCCCCAATGCCAGCGCTCACCTGCGCTTGCAGCACGCCTTTTTTGGAGGTCGATACGGCGCAGTGACGTCCGTGACGTCACTGCCCGAAACGTAAAACCAAGCAAAAATATATATATATTTTTTTAACGTTTCGTGGAGGGCTTGTCAGCCTGTTGCAGGTTGTTGTGTCCATTGTTGGGGCGGGGAGGAGGCGGCGGTCGCGGCGTGGTATTGTTGCAGTGCCATGCGCGAAAGAACAGAGGCCAGAGGCCGGATTCTCAAAGCGAACTTACGACGAAAAAAATGCGTACGACAAATTTGAGAGAAAATCCGTATTCTCGAAACGAAATTGTCATAACTTTTGCGCAGGTTACGACAAAATCCTACGACAGCTCCGAAGCTGTCTTACGCACTTTCTACGATCAAATTAACATGGCCGACAACGTCGCTCAGTTGCTCGGTCGCGACGACCCAACGGACATTTATTTTTCTACCTGCTCTTCTTGCGCGTCCCGACTTCAAGCAGCAAGAAAAAAATGAAGAAGTACTTGAAACCGACCACGACGAACATGAACGCTGGATCCACAGACACCCGGAAAAGGCAACAAAGGCGACGATCCCACCGACCAAGCGAGCTCGGCAGAATATATAGGCCTAGCAGGCACTCCGACCCGTTCCGGCGCAGCATTGCTTAGACGGTCCTTGGCCAAGACCGTCTGCCCACGACCGGCTGGCTTGCTGAATGGAATATGCCCGCGCGACCCTTGTGGACCCTCCCCGTATGAATAGTTTGATAGCTGAACTAAATTTCAG